GCTGGTTAATGTGTTCGGCATTGATGACGTAGTCTGAGCTTGGTGCGGGACAAGGTCTCAGCCCCCAAGCCCGATGTGGCTGAGCAAAGAGCTCGGCACTCCGAAGAGGTGAAGCCCCCAGTCTAGCTGAGGTGATGGAGCAGGTCGCCGGATGACACTGGAGTCTTCGGCCGAATAGGTTGATGAAGCGACGATGCAGGGTTACCTATCACAGGGCGACACTCCAAGGCGACGACACAATTCGGTCGATGGACATGGGCGACCAGGACACCACGCCGAGGGGATAGTGCGGCCCGATCTAAGTCAATTACCTGCACTTGTAAAATAGTACAAAACGAAAAATAATAATGAAAAAAAGATGCATATTTAATTTATGCGAAAAAAGTTTGGTAAATATGGCCTGAGCGCTAAGGCTAGCTCGATGGCGCGTTGGCGTCGTGGCACGGCGATGTCGGCGAAGGTCGGCCTGCCCAGGTAACAGAGAGAGGCTGGCCGGACTGATGCCAGGTACAAACATCGGTAGGATATCTCTGCCAAAATGATGCAGTACATGCAAACAAAAAATATTCTGTGTATAATATGCTAAACAAATAATTTGGAAAAATACAACCAGAACGCCAGCAGCGACGACTGTAGCAGTCTGAAGGAAACGGGCGAACTGATCCGTGCCGAACATGCTGCAAAGCCAATCCTCGATATGCGTAGTAGCACTTTTATTCTGTGTATTTGTCAGAAAAAGTAGAAGACAAGCAGCGGTCGACTACATAGGTATCGAATTAAAAAGGAAAGAAATGAATCTCCCTGTGGTGTGCTGCCATTGAGCCGAGCTCTCATGAGTGCACTGTTCCGCACCATCCCTTTGGCCGGATAACACGTGGGCCGGACTGAGGCCGGATCCGATGTATCGCCAAACAGTGGATGTTAACATAGTCCGTAATAGAATCTGTGGGTTGCCGCATAGCTGAATTTATGTTTAGCTACGGGCGCCGCTTCGCGCGGACTGTACGTAGACGTGTTCGTCCTCCTCGGCTGTGCAGAGAAAACAACACTGGCCCAAGCAATAATTCCCCAGAAAAAATATTTATGCATTAAAAATAATTTGGAGAGGTAGCACCTGGCAGTAATATGAGTGGCTGGCCAAATCAAAGATGGACGAAGCGAAGTCTGATGAAAAGTTGTCCGGCCGCAGACGTAAAGTTGGTCGGATCACAAGTGGGAAGCGACAAAGTCGTCCGCCAGTGGCTCTCCATATGAGAGAGCTGAGTTGACCCATCAATCCCCGGGAGAAGCGCTTCCTTAATAATCGGCGGCACTTGAAAGCAAATTTGAACCATGATCACACCTCAATAATTGCAAAAACAATTAGTACCGTGCATGCTTACGTATATGGAATACAAACTAGTTATTGGAGTAGTCTATTTCCTCAAGGCTTAATTAAATAAGGAAGAGAGAGAGGAATTGGATCTCCTGATGATATCCTAGTGCACATGGCAATTTTGGGGGAGAAAGGACAGCTTTGAATAATCTGTCCACGTGAGGCTGCAGCCATACACTGGATTTGATTCTCTTGTCGGTTGCCGAACAGAACCTGGCGTCTCCGAAAACAGCCACATACGCTACTGTTTATCTTGATCTCTCAGCTCGATGTGCATCGCACAAATTGTATAGCGGAGATCGGGGTGTGCGGCGTTTGCGTGACTATCCTTTGATCCCAACTTTCAGGTGAGGGCAAAAACCGATCTGTAAAAGAATTACACACGGCGACGTAGATAATTTGTAAACAAACTGATCTATGTAAAATAAAATAAACTGAAAGTATAACACCTGATTTGGCGTCGGTAGAAGACTCATCGAACCGCAACGACCGCCTAGCAGGCTCTCAATGAAAGCACCAATGCCGGTTCAATATCCGATGTATCTCGTAGTAGGGGTCTTAAGCTAGGCATCTTGGAGCGATGGTAACATGGACATGGGATTTTACCCAGCTTCGGGCTCTCTTGATGAGATAATACCCTACATGCTGCTTTTGCTTGTATTCATATGGGTGTAGTACAGAGTACATGTATCTACCACGAGATGATAGTAATGAATATCAGATCGTCTATTGACTAGCCTGGCCTCGGTTTATATAAGACACCGGAGGCCTAGGGTTTAGGAGAGTCCTTGTTTTGGGCGCCAAGTCTTGTGGAGTCTTCCTAGTATGCGGGAGGGGTTGTCCGAACTGACCCATGAGTATATGGCCATGGGGGTCCTCGGCCCAATCCAACTGATCGGGAGACGACGTGGTGAGTACCCCCTAGTGCAGGACACCGTCAGCCATGGCGATGAGGCCCGTAGCATGGTCGACGCACATCTGCAAGCTCGGAAACCTATTGCAGATCCCATTAAAAGCATATCGCCGGAAATCCTAAATAAATGCCAAGCTAGGAATATGTGTTATATGATGTGTATACTGGAAGCACACTTGAAACATAGTTAGTCATCTAATCGTAATGCCATTAAAACCAAAACCCTCATTAGAGGCTAGGTGATTTCTATTAGTAGTAACTTATCAACAAAGGGTAGTCTTTTGTGCACCCCTTATGGCGTATTTTGGGGCTATCAAGACGACTTGGGGGTGCCTATGTCAATTGGATGCCAAACTAGGAATAGGTGTCATCCTCTGCGAATTCCTGCTCCTCCTGGTTTAACTTTCATTTCCCCGTTAAATAATCATCGCCTGAGTTTTGTCCGGTGTAGATATTTTCTCACATACTCTGATTTGGGGATTCTGCTAGTGGTTCGTCTTCTAATCCGGGGGTCCTTCTATTCTTTTTTTGAACGG